CGGCGATATTACCATAATCTAATAAATCCCCGAGCGGATGGAAGACAAAAGGTGTGTGCTTGAGGAGAACGAGAGAGAGAGAGAGAGACAGAGACAGAGAGAGGGAGAGAGGGAGAGAGGGAGAGAGAGAATAAAAGGCGAGATGAAAGAAAAAGGAATGCGAGCGGGCGGGGTAGAGAGGAAGATTTATTCAAATGAAATCACCTCGGCAAGACGCCTCGCGGCGGCCCCATGAGCCGGGCCATGAGCCGCGAGCCCCGCAGGGAGCGGACTGCCAACTAATTGCTCGGCCCATGGCGTTTGTTATCACGGTTATCATCCAAAAGTGTTGTTGTTGTTGACGTTCCGGTCGGGTTTGCACTGCGCCCTTTAGGTCCCGTGCGCCACGAACTACTCACCCATTCTGCATGTGCCACGGGCAATCCCGCGTACCTCGGGACAAAAACCAAACCACTCCTATCCCATGGTGTAAAATTACGCCGACCATAAAGGGGGGAGGGGGTAGCATAACGCAAAATGCGAAATAAAATATGAAAAATGTTCCGCAGCAGATGTATGTGGTTATCTATTGGACGCTTTGAGCAAAGTGTGCATAACAGGGGCCTGTGTAAGACGCCTGCTGCGTCCTCTTTGCCCCGGCGCTCCCTTGCGGTCTGTGGGTTTCTCGTAATAGGCGGAGCCGGAGCCGCAGCGCCATCGCGCGCGTCGCTACACACAACACAAAACCACTAACGACATTACACGACTTTCCTTCCAATTTTTTTTTCTCTCCTCGTCGTCCGCTTGCCACAAGGATGGTGGTGGTGGGAAGGACCGCTTTCCCTTTTAGGCAAAAATGTTTAAGCAAAAATATGGCAGAAAAGTGGCGGGCGCTTTGGAGCGTGCGAGCTGTGCACAACAACGGGGGATGCCGCCGGTTGTGCTGCTGCTGTGGCTGATGCACTGAGAAATTTTTTTCCTGCCGGGCACTAGACGGTCGTCGATGCGTCCTACTTTGTTCCTGGCACAAAAAAGCTACTTCCGGCCACTCAAATTATTGTGCGTGGCAACAAAATTTTGAAGCTCTGCAGCAAAACTTTGGTGCCAAGGACAAAACTCTTTAGTGCGTCCAAACTTTCGGTCTCCGGACAAAATGTTTAGTGCTCAGGACCAAAAAAAATTCTCAGTGCGCTGGTGGGTCGCGCAGGCGAGCAGTTGCCCCACAGGGAGATGCCGTCTACCGTGTCGTCTGGCGTCGTGTCGTGTCGTGTTGTGTCGCTCTGCGGTGGGCGGCGGGTATCTCGGCATCAATGCAGACAGCAGTCAGATAAATTACTGTGCAAATAAACAGCCCTCGCATACCGTGACCCAGCAGCGGGCGCCAGCCAGTTCCTCTTTATCCGCAACATGATTTATCGGCGAGTTTGGCGGGGCGGGCCGGGGGACCTTTCATTTTTCATCCTGAGCTGCTGCTGCTGCTGTTGCTGCTGCCGCCGCCGCCGCGGCTGCTGCGGGCGCCTCGACGACACGATGATGGAATCGGTTTCATTTAAGCGGCACTCCAGCATATTTAGCGGAAGTCTGGGCCGCTCCTTAGGGGCTGCTCGAAGGGCCTAGCAGCTTAAATTTGTGATAAAAATTTTGCAAAGTTTTTGACGTTATTGTTGTTGTTTTTATCGTGTTTTAAAACGTCTCATTTCTCCGTTATTTTGCAGTGCCAACTGAGCCGCCGACTAATATCGACGCCATCCTCATCAACTCCACCGTCGTCTACATCAAGTGGGACCCCCCACCGGCCGGCAGCGTCAACGGGGAGCTCGCCGTCTACCAGGTGAGTTCGTGGAGGCAGCGATGGACTAGGGGGAGAACAACTAAGAACGCGCATCCCGTGTGCGGCGTATGCGTGTGTGGGAGGGGAGGGGGCACTGAAGGGGAGGGAGGGCTTCATTAATTATAGAGGGAGGACTTTCACATTCCCCTTGCCTTGCCGTTGGTCGGGGTTTGGGCTCAAACGGGCCCTCTCGCAACTTACACATTACCGAACTCAACTTGGCGCCTGGGGTGGCACGGCGCGGGGCCGTCAGCGGACGAGGCGGGGCGGGGCGGGGAGCTGCAGGCTAGCAGCAGCAGAGTAGCGCCACAGTGAGTGGACATCCCCCCCCCTCTCTATCGACTTCTGTGTGCGTTTCTGCTGCGACCAGTGGGCCGGAAGGTTGCGCATGGCAAACCAAAACTGTGTAGCAGCAGCAGCGGTGGTGGCTGGGTTGTGCCACGGTCAGTTTCGCCCCCCTTTACCCTTTCTCTCCGTTCGTGTCCCTGTCTCTCTCTCTCCCTCGCTCGTCCCCATCCCCGTTTCGTCCTGCTATGGCTAACCCCGGCCGACCAGCCCGAGCCGTGCAATGAATCAGTATTAAACTTACATAGAAAGGAGGGCGAGCGCTCGTATCGCACTCGCCCCTCTCCTTCCCTTCTTCCTTTCTTTTTTTTAACCCCCTCGCTCGCTCTCGGCTATCTCTCTCTCTCTCGCTCCCTCCATGTCTCGCTCTCTGCTCGCCCCACAGTCAGGAGCAGGCCGCCGGTGACGCCAAAGCCTGAAGAATGGCCGGTTTTAATTCGCGTGCGGTTTCTTGCGCGGCCCCCAGCCGCCCGGGGGCGCGTCGGCCGTGTCGACTGTCCTGTCCCTGTATAAGTACTCTTGACTTATACGCGCTGTCGGCGGCAGGGACCCCCGCTCGAGTCGCGGCGCCCCGCCCCCCAGCGGGCTCTGCTTCAACAGTCACCCATTGAGCCATCCAATAAACAAGCCGTAAATAAACACATGATGATTTACTTATTTAGCCTGTGTACTGTTAACCACGATACCGTTAAAGTTTGAGCCTTCCATTATACTTCCTTTTATTCTCGTACTTCATATTTGTCACACACAACTTGCCTGCAACCCCTCGAAAATATTACTTAAAGGGGTGAGCAAAATAAAGTTTGTCTGCAACGTTAAACATTTTTTTTTTTTTTTTGAGGGGTTGCCAGCGTGTTGGCTTTCGTGTTGTTCTCCAATCCTCGACCCCCTCCCCCCCTTTTCCAACCTCCCTTTCCTTCTCTCCAGTCTCCGCGACGGTGGCGATTATCAGACTCTGGCCGTAAATAACTCCTCGTTGTCAAACAGAGCAGGGGGCGGGCCGGGGCCTCGGCCGGGCCGGAGATCTAAGGGCGTAAGTGCCGTGCAGACGGAAAGGGAAAGGCTGAGTGGCTCGCTCGCTCCGCACCCGCACCACGCGTTTTTAGTCCCGGACGCGCCTCTGCTGTGAGTGAGCGAACGGGAAAGGAGAGAGAGAGAATGAGAGAGCGAGCGAGCCGGCTGGAACGTTGGGTGACAGAGAGGCAGCCAGTCACTCGCCTCGTCTGCTCGCCCACCCGGCCAGACTCCCCCATTAGTGAGATAGATTTTCGGTTCCTTCAATTTGTCGCGAGCGCTGTATCCTCGCTCTTCTCGCTCTCTGCCCCGTCCGTCGAGCACGGCCCTGCCGAGTGCCGAGTCTTAAGTATTTTTGACGCTCACAGCTGCAACGGGTGGAGTGGGCAAAGTTTCAGGTGCTTCTCAGTGTAGATCCCCTCTATTACGTGGCCACGAACTCTACGCGTGTGAGACGCACTCTAGCCGGTGCTTGTCTTTTTCTGCCATCCACTCTTAATTATTTTTATATCCAGCGCCTGGCTTGGCCTCCAGTGTGTCCCCTCGTGGCGAGTTGTGTGTGTATGTGAGGGAAAGGGGGGCGTTCGTGTGTCGTCTTTTTGTTGGGATCCGTGTGGGACACTCACCCTCCCGGGCTGCGACCACGCCACACACGCCGCGCGCTGGCAGTTAATACCTCCAGTGTGTGTAAGAGAGGGAGAGAGATGCATACACGAGTGTGTTTTATCCGGTACGCCCTCTTTTAATTTTCCACGAATACCTAAGCCACATCTACGCGGGCACTCTCGACCAACGACGCGCAAACCTTTATCCTCTCTCTCGCTCTCTGTCTCCCTCTCCGTGCGTGTGAGTCTGTGTAACTCTCTTTCGCTCTCTCTCGCTTGCTCTCTCTCTTGCTCTCGCTTGCTCTCTCTTGCTCGCTCTCTTTCTTGCTCTCTTTCTCGCTCTCTTTCTCTCTCGCTCTCTCTTGCTTTCTCTTATTTTCTCTCGCTCTCTCTCTCTCTCTCTCTCTGTCGCTCCCTCTTTGTGTGTGTCGATGAGTACGCGCCCGTGTCGCGTCTCCTCGCCTGCTTTCATTAATTACAGGGCAAACACCGCCACTGACTCCCCCGCGCCCGCCCTGCACGCTCCGCGCGCTCTCCACCTCCGCCAGGGAGGAGTTTTGACCAACAGGGGACATCAGTAGCAGCTCCACTCCATCTACCCCCTCCTCTCTCTCTCTCTCTCGTTGTCCGCTGCTGCAGCGCGGGGTGAGGTGGGGGAGGCGGGGGCAGCAGGACGCATGTGTTGGACGTCGGGCGTCATCGCATTGTAGCGCCTCTTGAGCTCCGTGATGGATGGGGCTGTGCCGTCCTCTCGAGGAGTGGGGGGGATGGAGGGGGTGGAGAAAGGCCGACTGGCCAGAGAGAGAGAGAGAGAGAGAGAGAGGGAGGGAGAGAGAGAGAGGGGGAGAGAGAGGGAGAGACTGACATGAGAGGGAGGGGAGGAAAGGCGACATTGGCATAACAGTGGCAGAGGCTGTTCAAGAGCTCCTTCTTGCAGCGGCCGTGGCGGCGGAAGCATAGCATCTGCCTAAGTAACGGCAGCATGCTTCCATGGGCAGTGGCAGAGAGAGGGAGAGAGAGAGAGAAAGAGAGAGGGAAGGAGGGAGAGGGGGAGAAAGAGAGAGAGGCGGGGCGGAGAAGGTGGAGAGAGAGAGTGAGAGTGAGGAGGAGAGAAAGAAAGAGACGGGACACGAGAATGACAGAGCGAGGGGGGAATGTGACACGGATGAAAAGAAGGGCGCGTGTGTGTGCTCCGCAGAGGCGGGCTGGATAAGGCGTGGGGCGGAGCGGCGGTCGCAGTGGAGATAGAGAGGAGGAGGAAGAGGAGCTGAGGCAGCTTGGCGAAAATGAAAAGAGTGGGAGTGGCAGTAAAGAAATTTCACTGCACACAAGGTGAAAGGGGACCCGCGGCTACGGCGGGACGGGAGCACTCGCGGACCTGGGCGAGAGAGCGAAAGGGACTATGGATGGAAAAAGAGCGAGCAGAGAGACAGAGATAGACAGCGGGGACAAAAGGAGAGTGGGAGATGGCGTGTAATGTTGCTGATGTTTCTTTTCCAAGAGTGGCCCGCCTGACCCGGGCGGACAAGCCGGTCATTAGTGTGTGTGTGTGTGTGTGTGTGTGCGAGAGAGAGAGAGAGAGAGAGAGAGAGAGAGAGAGAGAGAGAGAAGAGGGGGGATGGAGGGGGAGTTATGTGTGTGTGTTGGAGGGAGAGGGATTTAGGGAAGGGGAGGGGGAGAGGGAGAGACAGGACAGAGCGTTTGTGTGAGTACGTGCAAAAAGGGGAAGGGGGCAAAAGGGTCTGTAGGGTTAAAAGTTGAAAGAGAGCTGTTCTGCGGTGCTGCTGCTTGCTGCTGCCCGCCGGCGCTGCTCCGGGCGGCCCACGGGCGCCCGCGAGGTAGGCAGCCGGGGAGGATGAACGCACCGCAGCTCCCACGTTGCCTACCTCGCGGGCGGTGGAGTGCGCCGCGCACTGCAGTGTGCCACACAGGCCCGAGCATTCTTTATCTCTCTCTTTCTCTCAGTCTTTCTTCCGCATTATTACGCACACATTTCTCTCCCTTTTTTGCTCTGTCTCTGTCCTCCTATGCGGCAGGTGCAGCGGATGTACATATTTTGTGTCGCCACGAAATAATAATGCTCTCCGCAGTAATTCTCCGGTGTTTATCCTCTCGTGAGCCGTGCTGGATGAGGGTGGAAGGGCCTCTACCTGGGTGCGGTGAATTTTTTTGATGACACTTGAACATTTCAAAATGGGAGCAAAATCTTACTCTAGTGTAACTGTGAGATTGGGTTTGGTTTGTAAAAATGCCAGATGGGACGTGAGGTTTGTGAAAATTTCAGATTTGGTTGGGTTCTTGTTCGAACAACATATACCCTCTAAATGGGAAAGGACAACAATTTTTTATCGAGCGAGAATGCGATCTTACGCCCATCTACAAAAGATGCTAATTTGACACAAAAAAGTTATCTGTACGTATTGAGGCTAGGTACAAATTGTAACTGTCTACGTACAATAAATTTGCATCTAATAGAGATGTGCTCAACGTATCCTCGCCGGAAAATTGACCTCTTTCCAATTTAGAGTGTAGCTTGTTTCATGTGTCACGATTGTACTGTTGTAAAAAGAAAGTTTGTATGAAAATGCATTCCTCTATGGTTGACAAAGGGCAAGATTGTTGCGGTGGCCGTCGCCTATTGCGTTCCATGGCGAGGTATAAACGGGATTACTGTGCGAGAGAAGAGGCCGAGGGACGAGTGGGGTTGGTAAGGGGGGGAGGGGGGTCGGGGAGCGGAGAGGAGTGGGCGACGGTGGTCAATCTATGAAAGGGAACCGCAAATGTCAGAGACGAGCGGCCGGGCGGGGCAGCCAAGGCCGGACTGGACGCTCCCGGGTACACCACACCGTCAATAATTTTGGGGTCAGCTGGAATGCGGTGAGAGGGGGGTGGGGGAAGGGAAAGAGAGGTGGTGGCAGCAACGCGTGGGTCAGGGGGTGG